CCTAGTCTGTCCCTTCCCAGCCCCCACCCCCTTGGCAACCACAAGTTTGTATTCTATGTCTATGAGTCTGTTTCTATGTTGTATTTATGTTCATTCTTTTTTTTTTTTAAGATTCCACATATAAATGATCTCATATGGTATTTTTCTTTCTCATTCTGGCTTACTTCACTTAGAATGACATTCTCCAGGGACATCCATGTTGCTGCAAATGGCATTATGTTGTCGTTTTTATGGCTGAGTAATATTCCATTGTATAAATATACCACATCTTTTTTATCCAGTCATTTGTTGATGAACATTTGGGTTGTTTCCACGTCTTGGCTACTGTAAATAGTGCTGTTATGAACATTGGGGGTGCATGTGTCTTTTTGAATTATATTTTTCTCCAGGTATATGCCCAGGAGTGGGGTTGAAGGATCATATGGTAAGTCTATTTTTAAAGAAACCTCCATACTGTCCTCCATAGTGGCTGTACCAATTTACATTCCCACCAACAGAGTAGGAGGGTTCTTTTTTTCTCCACACCTTCTCTAGCATTTATTGTCTGTAGACTTTTTAATGATGGCCATTCTGGCTGGTATGAGGTGATACCTTATTGTAGTTTTGATTTGCATTTCTTTAATAATTAGTGATGTTGAGCATCTTTTCATGTGCTTTTTGGCCATCTGTCTGTCTGTCTTTGGAGAGATGTCTGTTTAGGTCTTCTGCCCATTTTTTGATTGGGTTGCTTGTTTTTTTGATATTAAGGTGTATGAGCTCATAGTTTTCTTTCTAACGCAAACTCCAAACAAGGGCTGGTATCTCTGGTTGGCCTTTCTTTTCCTTCCATCATGGTTTTGTGGGCTGCTGGCTATTTTAGGGACTCTGAGTTCAGAGCAGAGTCTCCTTGCTCTGCAGCTCCTGTGGAAGCCTTGATAGCTTTTCAGACCCCAGCATGAGATGGCAGTCCCTCGGTCATCATCGTGGGTTCCACAGAGGCCAGGCATAGAACGAGGGCTCAGGGAGACCCTAGGTATTGGACTAGGGGTGCTGGTGTGTTTGGTGAGTTAGTTCTGTGTCAGAGTCAAGCCCAGGTGGGTCCACGTCTCTGTCCTAGCACAGAATGGAGGGTCCTCCATTGTGCCTCTGCCTGGGGCAGCCCCCTGACCTCACCTCATCACTGAGCCCCGGACCAGGCACTGCCTGTAGTACCATGGTGCTAAAATGGCTCAGAACAGAGTTTCTCAAAGTTGGGCATCCTGAGAACCACACAAGGAGCCTGCTGGCAATGCAGACTCCAGGGTCCCTCAGCTGACCTCGGGCCCCGGAGTCAGCACCATTAATGACTGTACGTGATTGTGAGGCTGGCGGTTCCAGGACTGTGCTGCCGGTGGGCTAACAGGGAAAGCAGCATGACGAGTGTGGAGTCGGGGAGCAGGGCGAACAAAGGGGCTCTGGCCCAGGGCAGGGCTGGGGTCAGGAAAGGTCACCCAGAAGAGGTAAGCTGAATCTTGAAGAGCAAAGCAGGGCATAGTAATGATCTTGAACCTTAATTGAGTGCTTGGTGCCAGGCTCAGTTCTAAGCCTTTTATGGGTAATCCTTCCAGCAACCCTATGAAATAGGTGGTTACCTTGCTCTTGGAGCACAGAAAGGGCTCAAGGAACTTGCCCAACGTTCTTGGCTCATAAGCAGTGAGCTGGTTCTCAACCTCCTGCTCCATTTCACCACACTGGGGCCAGGGCGCCACGGGCAACAAGACCAGCTCACGCAGAGGCTGTGCAGACCGAGGGCTGGGGCTTCCTAGTAGATGAAGCAGGATGCCGCCATGTCGCACGGTTCAGGTAGCTTGAATCTAGTGTGTGGGGACAGCTTGGGTTTCGCTGGCAGAGAATTTGGCCGTGATCTTGGTTAGGGCAGAAAGTTCCAGTGAGGTGACAGCTGCTCTACCACAGCTCTGAGAGGGCGGAGGCTGCAGCCGGGCCACGGGGATTCTGGGTCCACGTGCTCCCAGTCTGAACGAGGCGGGACCCTGGGGTGTGGGGAGAAGGTGCAGCGTTAGTGCTCAGGGAGTAGTGAGGCCTGCGCCACGACACCCGCCCCAGCCGCTCTTCTGAGCGGGAAGAATTCTCCACTCCCAGGGACCCAGCACCTGCTCTTGGGGTCTGTGGGCAAGGGAGAAGCTGCTTGGAGAGGGGAAGACACTTTTCTTGGAAGCCAGCCAAGCTCTGTGTGCTGCTTTCCTTCAGTCCTCACGTTGTCTTGCAAAGGAGGTTGCTTATTCCTGTTTACTGACGTGACAGCTGAGGCCCAGAGAAGCAAAGTAACTTAGACACCATCACACAGCAGGTAGGCAGATGGTGGCGCTACGTCTGTCTTCCGTGGGATGCACGTTTTACCACAGTGGGGTCCCTGGTGTTCTGAGAGGCCATGTGTCCTGCACGCCCAATGGGACCAGTGACCAGGCTCCCGAGGAGTGGGTGCAGTGCCAGGCTGGGTGGGGCAGGCTCCCAGCAGCCAGCAGGGCAGATTCCAGCTGAGCCAGGGCACTGGGTGGCATTCCGAGCCCCGTGTCTGTGGGAGTGGCCTGCTGGGACCTTCCTAGTCAGGGGCCCTCCCATAAAGGAGGCCCCTAAACCACCCAAGCTCTGATTCCGGAGCCCCTTTCGTCCTCCTATAAGAGAAAAACATCGGCCACCAGCCCCGTTCCTTCTTCCTTGTTGCGCACTTCTTGGCCATCCCCTCACCCCACCCCCAGTTTCTTCCAGCAGAGCGGTCAGCCCGTTGACTTGAACCTGAGCACCGTCGGGACATGCTAGAGCCTGCATTCGTCTTTGCACCCCGGGCTGCTTGTGGGCGGGGGTGGGGGGCCTCTGCTGCTCCTGTGTCACGTCAGGCCTGCGACTGTCACCCGGCCTCTCCAGGAGCTCAGTGTCTGCAAGATGGGCTCACGGCCCACGTGTGAGGACAAGGGCCAGCTGGCCCTCCCCCCGGGGTCTTCCTGCACCGCCCCGTTCCTGGGGCTGCCCTGTCCACTTGGAATCCTGCCAGGGTTCTAGCCCACAGCTCTCTGCAGGCAGAAGGTCCTGGGTTCCCAGTTGGCTCTGGGTGGAGCACAGGCTGGTCGTGTCTGGGTGTGCCTCGGCGGCGGGGGGTGGGGGGCAGGCAGTGAAGTTAGCTGCTGTCCAGGCCGAGCACTGGAGAGAATGGTGCTGCTGTGGAGAACCCCCCCACCACAGAGCTTCCTGGGGCCTATGCGGGGTGGGCCAGGGTCAGTGGGGGCCATCATCCCCACCTCTGCTCACCTGGGCCCTCTGGCCGATGACTTACCACCTGGAGAGTGTTCAAGGACAGCAAGAAAAATGAGGGACTTTCAGGGGCAGCTGTGTTTTCTGACTCAGTCATAATGCCCCTAAAAATCCTTATTGTTCTTGCAGTGTGCATCTGGAGCGGCGCTGAGCCACCCCTCGTCTACCCGGCCACTCCGGCTTGGTTCTGGGCTGCCTGGTCACCTGGGGTTCGATTGAGGGTGTCCCCCCCATCCTCCTGAAATGAGAGTATAGGGGGACTTGCTGATTATTTAGAAATTTTGTTGATCAATGCATTGATTTGTATGTACTTCTGTAATTTTCTTTTTTGGTGGAAGACTGGGGAGGGCCAGGCTCTGAGACATTCCTGCGTGGATGGGAGCCCAGAAGACAGGACAGGGTCTCCCCGGTTTGTGTGCATGGAAGGTTCCCAAGAACGCAGCTGCACGTGTATGGCCCAGGGTAGGGCGGCTTCGGGGCCAGTTGTGTCCAGGGCGGCAGTGCTGGGCTGGCCGGGATGCCCTGCCTTTCCTGAGAAGCCGGACCTGCTTTAGGGGTATTGGGTTTTAGAACAGGAGCCTTATTCCAGGCTCTGAGACCCGGTAAACTGGTCATTTTGCAAACCCCTCCTGCAGTGGATTTGAGGTCGTTCCTCCAACTGTGACCCTACAGCCTGGTTTCTCTTGCCCAGATGTTGTCTGCCCATCTCACCTCCTTAGATCCTGGGTCTCCACCCTGCTCAGCTGGTGCCCCCTGTCCCCCCGACTGAGCCGAGATTATTCTGGGTGGAGGTGGGGATCCTGGGGGCTTGTCAAGCAGCAGACATACCCCTCTTAATGCAAGAACACCATTCCACAAGAATGTCACCAGATCCCACAGCAACAGAATCTTCCCTCTGGCTGAGGATGGGCAGGTGGCCTGTCTGTGGGTGGGTGGGTGGATGGATGGGGAGGTGAACAAGCAGCAATCAGGACTCTGCACCTGTGTTCCGCCCTGGGTCTCATCAGCCTCCTGGATCAGCAGGGGAAATTCACTCTCGAGGTATTGCTAAGATTCCCTCCCAGGTGCCGACTCAAAAGCTCTTATCATCCAAGATGATGGCCATTTGTGGGACCCTGACCACCACGATCCTCCTTCCTGGCTAATCCAAGCCCCCTGCTCCTGCGATCAGAGATGGTTTTAAGGTGCTGTGTTTGCTCTGGAGCCTCAGCGTTCTTCTGCCCAGGGGAAGGGACAGCTCCAAGGTAAAGTTACTACGCAGTGGAGGCGGGGGAAGTGCTGTTTATCCCTTCTTGGTGAGAGGTGGGCGGGGCTCTTGTGAGATGAGATTCTCACAACCCACAGTGGACACAGGTGATGGAACACATTCTGTCCTCCTTCATAGCTGAGCGTTTGCTAACTTCCAATCAGCTGTCCCTCCCAGAGGCCCCTGTGCCCTGCCCGTCATTTCCCCAAGAACCACCTTGTTCCCGAGTGTGTGCCTCATTTTTTACCCCAGACATTTGCCAAAAAAAAAAAGAAATCCATTTAAGAAAAAAATAGTGCATAGAAAGTAAAACTGATTACTGTTTTTTCCCTCTTCATTTCAAAAACATTTCAAAAGCATTTCAAAAACACAGAAGGATGAAAAAGGCTTATAGATGTCCACACTTAGAGATAAAGTCTGCTAATGAAATAGAGCCTTCCAGCATTTTTTCCTCTTTGCATGAACACACCCTCACCCAGTTAGCAGGATTGGGGCTTCTAAAAGGGGTGAGGCTCATAACCCATTTGAGCAATGGCCCTGGGCCGTTGGGAGCCAGAAGGTCTCTATTTTCTTTTTTGCCAAATGGGCTGGGCCTTGGGCTGAAGCTCGCCTCCAGCCAGGAAGCTAATTGGAGGGTGTGGGAGCAGCACTGGGTCTCTCTACACCGAGACTGATGAAGTTGCTGGGGAGGATGCTAGAAATGTGGGCTCCGTCCTGACTGATTTCTGAGGAGACTCCTGCACTGCTTCTTGACTCTGGTCACATGCAAGAATCCCTTAGTGTTAGAAAAAATTTCACTGCCTACCCTCACCCGAGACCAGTTGGATCTAAATTGCTGGGTGTTGGGAGGGACCCAGGCCTTGGCATCTTTGTTTTTCTTAGGTTCCTCAGGTGATTCTGTCAAGCTGCCAGAGGACGACCCAGCTCCACGCCCACAGGTTGGAGGTGGAAGAGATTTCCTCTAGCTCTGCTGTCAGAGTCTGACAGAGGACATGTGCAGCTGGCAGACTTTCCCTTCCATTATTTTCCCTTCTGCTCAGAGTCACCTTTGATCCTCATTTTACAGATGGAGGACCGAGGCTCAGGAGATCAGGAGACTTAACCAGAGGACACACAGCTCGGATGCAACAGAGCTAGGATTTAGATCTGCAGCTTCTGCCTCCCAAGGCCAGTGCTCTTTAAGTAAAATTGTTGTTTATAATTAGCATATGTAGTTATAACAAGATGTGGTCATCACAGTGTCCCGAGGTTGGGGGTGCCTCTGTCTCGTGGAGGAGGTATCTGCTCCCCAGGGAGGCTGGGTGATCGTCCCTGAGTCTTCCCAATGCTGAGTGTGTACGTGGCCAGCTTGGACCCACAGCCTGCCATGCTGCCAAGGATCCCAGCTCTGGGCAAAGCAGGGTTTAGCCCCGTTTTCAGAACAGGCAGGAGGCATGGCCCAGGTCCCACAGTGGGTGGTGCCCTGGGCTCCCTAATCCCTGCTCCTCACCTGGACGGAGGCATCTGGGAAGGAGCACAGCCAGTGAGGGGCTTGCTTCTCCAGGCCCTGCTCTGAGCAGGGCGGCCCTCAGGGTCAGGACCCCTGCTAGGGGTTCTGCAGGCTCCTGAAAGCTGTCCTCGGCCCTCCCTCTCTCCTACAGAGCTGGACTCCCGGAGCCTGGCCGGAGGGCTGCCCGGGCAGGCGGCCAGCAGAGAACTAGCGGGCAGGCGCACTGTTGGATCCAGGAAGTGGTCACTGTTCCTGGGCCGGTGTCGGGGCTGGAGGGCCAGCCTGCCTCAGACGTAACAGCGGGGATGGGAGCTGAGAACACCACTCTCCCAGGGCCCGGCGGCTCTGGGCCCAGCCCATGGCCATCCTTTGGCAGGGAGGGCCCCAGCCTTGCCATGCCTTCCCTTGCTGGGCCCTGGCTCTTTCTCAGTGGGCTCTCGCCCTGCTCCCCACCGTCTCTCTGCAGCAGCGACATCCGTTTAAGCTGCATCCCAGAAGACAGGATGGCTGGGCAGGCAGATACAGCCAGCACCTTGGTGGGAAGTGGGGCAGGGGCCCTCAGCTCAGGCTTCTTTTGCCCACATTCTAGGAGATCTGGGCTGGGAGGTGGCCCCGAGCTGCCGTGCTGACCTGGGTCAGCAGCCAAGAGCAGACAGGCTGAGGCCAGAGCTTGGAGCTCCTGGAGGTGGCAGGAGTTTGCCCAGCAGCCTGATCAGCGGCAGCCACTTCACGGGGGCCGCAGGTAATGCCCCCTCCCCTCCAAACCTGCAGCCTTATTTATTTAATGGATGTAGTGCTGCCCTGTAGGAGTAGGTCTACTTTTAGGCCTGTTCTGAACAGATACGAAGCTGTGGCTCCCTTCCCTCCCATTCCAGGAGGACCCTTCACCAGAGAACTCGGGACGTACCTGGCATGAGAATGTGCGAGCGCCACCGCACCGCCCAGGACGTAAGTGTGTGTCTCCAGGTGCTGGATGTTGTTCTGTCCGTCATCTCTACAAAGATGACCTTCCCTTCAGCTTCCTCTCTGCCAGACCCTGTGGGGATAGTGGTTCTGGACTGAGAAGCTGCCCTTCTTGCCCCTGTGCCCTGTCTGGTCTGGCCCCCCAAGGCCTGGAGGCCAGGGAGGCATCCTTTCCCTCCTTGGGGTACATCCTACAAGTCAGGGTGCTGTCAGCTCCAAGGTGTTCCCACTGGGCCTGGGCCAGAGCCCCTCCCTCCCCCGCCAGCCTCCTCTGGGTGCAGACTGACGGCTCCACACAGGCAGGCAGGGCCTTCTGTTGGCCTTGGCTGGTGGGGAAGAGACTCGCTCTTACCTTCTGTTTAGACTCTTGTATCTAATTAACACGCAGAGCCTATGACATTGCAGAACAGCAGCCTTGGGTCTTGAATGAGTCTGGGGCCTGGCCACTATAGTGCTGTCTGTCTGAAGGTAGGAGTGGGTGACAGCAGCACCCCCCTGGTTATTTGTGGAGAGATATGATGACCATCTGTTGGCTCTCCCAATCAGTGTCTGCAGCCCCTTCTTTTTCTTTCAGGGGATCACCTCTTCTGTACCCCTGGGGTTCAGATAGGGCCAACTGCATCCCCTGGCTTTAGAGGCAGGCATGTGTCCCAAGCTGGACACTGCAACTCCCCCTTGGGACTTTTGCAGCAGCTGTGGGAGAAGAGGCATTCACTTTTCAGGGTGGGAGTTGCCAGGTTGATGGTGGCCACTCCTGTTCTCCACTGGAGGACAGACCCAACAAAGAGGAGTCAAGAAGTGGAGAAAGTGTGCTGTCCAGACATCAATAAGCCATGCCTGAAACTAACTGTACCTCTGGACTAACCTGATTCTATAAGCCAATATCCACCTCCCCCCCCAAAAAAAAACTATCCTGAGTTGGGTTTCTGTCATAGAAGGTGTCCGAATAAAGCAATGTTCCTCTTCGGTCTCATTTAAAAAAATCAACTTTGAGGTACACTTTACGTGCAGTAAAATCCACCCATTCTAAGTATCCAACTCATAAGTTGTTTCAAACGTGTACACCCCTGTAACTACCACCACAGACAAGAGATAGAATATTTCTCATTCCCCTTTATGGTCAGTTCCCCAGCCCCATATGACCACAGACTTACCTTTGTTCTAGGGATTCATTTTGCATTTTCTGGAATTTCATGTAACTATTACATTAATGTAAATGCTTTTGTGTCTGGCTTCCTTTACTCAGCATGTTTTTGAGATTCAGTCCTGTTGCTGCATGCATTAATAGTTCATTCCTTTTTATTACTGAATGGAATCTTATTGTATGGACGTTCCACAGCTTGTCCACTTATCAGATGATGGACTTAGGGTTGTTTCCAGGTTTTGGCTGTCACAAAGCTGTCTTGTGTAGGAATATGTTTCGATTCTTGTGCCTAAACATCTCATTTTGCAGGTGAGGAAACTGAGGTTCAGAGAGGTGGAATGACTTGTCCCCTGGTCCCATAGCCGATGGATCCTGTGGCTGGTGCAGGACCACAGGTAACAGCAGTTACGTGGCTGGGGGAACAGGGCGTGGTGTTTTGGGTGTCCCTTCGTAAAGAGCCCCTGGGACTGCGTGGGGAGGGACTGTTGGGATGAGCTGTGGCTGAGGGCCTCACCTTTTTTACCCCCTGGACCAATATCGTGTGTTTCTCCTCTGTGGACTCCACAGTTTGAAAGATATGTTTACTAAACAGTCTGCGTTCATTCCATGCAAGTGGCAGCCAGCATCCACTTCCCCAAATGTATTTCTCTAACACGTAAAGACATCTAGAACTGCCTGTCTGAGCTAACAGTCACTTCATATGAGCATGTTTGGAGGAAGACATGGAGTTGAAATCTCTCCAGCCAAAGCTAGAGACGTTTTTTTTCTTTTTTTTTCGGCTTGGGGCCAACAAATCATGCACCCATCCTAGAATTCTGGAAGATGTCAAGTTGGGAGTCCCCAGTTTAGTCCTGCCTCTCTCATCTCACAGATGCTTCAGCCAGGTCTCTTTCTTGGTCCTCTCTCTGTTCAGGTCAGGTCCCTGGAGGTCAAGGAGAGCCTTGTCCCAGTGCTCATATCGTGGGTCCATGTGGGTCATTTCCCTTGGGACTTACAGTCACCCCTGGATCCAACTCTGCTGAACCCAGATGCACCTCTGGGCCCCCCGGAGGTGTTCAAGTATCAGTGCTTAATCCCTTGCCAAAGGTTCTGTTTTCTAGGGACATGTGCAATCTGGCTCCTGGGTCTGTACTCCATGGCCTCAGTGAATGTCGAACAAGAGGAGAGGTACATTACAGGTCATGGCCGTGGGGTTGGGGACTGGATAGGGGACAAGGATGCTGCCAAATTCATCAGACTATTCCCCTTTCTCTCCTCCTCTACTCACTAGGTCTGATCAGCCAAATCCTCTCTGACTCCACGCTGTGCGTCAGAGACCCTGGCCTCCCCCACTAACCTCTGTCCAGGACGAAAGGATCCAGACTCCTTATCCTCCACTTGCTAGATGTGTGATGCTGGCAAGTTACTCAGCCTCTCTGAGCCAGCTTCCCATCTGTACGATGAGGGTAAGAATGGTCTCACCACCCAGGCTGGTTGGGATGACAATTGGTTTTGTGCCTGGTACAGAGGGGGGAGGGCATTGTTGAGGCTACCTGTCCAATTACAGCCCTGCTGTTTTTTGGGAAACACCCCTCCTCCACTCTCAGTCCCTACTGGGCAAATTGGGCTTTTCCCCTACCCAACCCCATCCCCGCACCTGCCACCAGACCCAGGCCAATCAGCACATCTCAGTATCGACCACAAGTATTGGCTCAGGCCTGGGCAAGAGATCTAAGCTGGACTGGTCCCTGTAACTGTGCCCTGAAGTTTCTGGAATAAGGAAAGTGGTACTTGCTCTTTTGCTGAGATCCTTAGCCTGGAGCTACCAGAGGCTGTTTTTACTGTTTGGCCATTTGACAATGAAGTCAGTGCAGTGAAGTCTGAAGAAAGCAAAGCCAAGAGATGGAGCCGGACACAGACTCCTGAGGATGCCCTTAGAGCTCCCGGATCCAGCCATGCCAGCAGCTAGTTAACCCCTGGTATTTTTAGAAATTAATACATAAAATTTTCTACAACTCAGTAATAAAAAACCAAACAATCAAAAAATGGGCAGAAGACCTAAATAGACATTTGTCCAAAGAAGACATCCAGATGGCCAACAGGCACATGAAAAGATGCTCAATATCACTAATTATGCAAAACTACAATGAGGTATCACTTCACACTAGTCAGAATGGCCATCATTTAAAAGCCCACAAATAATAAACGCTGGAGAGGCTGTGGAGAAAGGGGAGCCCTTCTACATGTTGGTGGGAAGATAATTTGGTGCAAATGCTGTGGAAAACAGTACGGAGTTTCCTTAAAAAACTAAAAACAGAGTTACCATATGATCCAGCAAACCCATTCCTGGTCACACATGCACTCTAGTGTTCACGGCAACACTGTTTACAATCGCCAAGACATGGAAACAATCTAAATGTCCATCAATAGATGAGTGGATAAAGAAGATGTGGGGTGTGTGTGTGTATATATATATAAAATATTACTCAGCCATAAAAAGCATGGATGGACCTAGAGATGATCATACTAAGTGAAGTCAGGCAAAGACAAATATCATATCACTTATATGTGGAATCTAAAAAGAAAATGATACATATCTTATTTACAAACCAAAAATAAGACTCATAGACACAGAAAACAAACTATGGTTACCAAAAGGGAAAGGGTGGGGGAGGGATAAATTCGGAGTTTGGAATTCACAAGTGCACACTACTATATATATATAAAAAATAAACAAGGTCCTACTGTATAGCCCAGGGAACTATATTCAATTTCTCGTAATAACATATAATGGAAAATAATCTGAACATGTATGTATGTATATGTACAACTAAATCACTATGCTGTACACCTGAGACTAACACAATGTTGTAAATCAACTATATTTTAACTAAAATAATTTTTTTACTTGTTATTTGCTTAAGTCAGTTCAAGTTGAGTTTCTGTTACTTAAAACTGAAATGATCTTGACTAATATCACAGCTTCCCTGTAAATGATCCCTGCTGTTATTGTAATTGATGTTATTATTATAAACACATTCCCAGGAGGATGCAGCCTTGGGGATGTGTAGTTCAGGTTCCCCCAGGGACCACTGCTACTCTCCACATATTATATATCCTGCATAGCAGCTCCTTCAGGGCAGGGATTCATTTTTGCTGCCGACATATCCCAGGTGCCTGGTGTCTGCTGCAGGTTAGGTGATTCATGGACACCCACTGAATGAACAAATGAAGTTGGCCCATTGCTGTCTCATCCCCAGGCCCAGTTCACATGTTGCCCTCTCTGCTTGTCCTTGGCTGACATCTGAACCCCCTGGGGTGTCTGCCAGGAGTCTGTCTTGGCAAACTGATCTCCTGTTTTCACAGTTTCCTTTCTAGGGCCTCATTCATCCCTTATCTGTTCATATATCCAGTTTAGAAAATCTTTAAAGTGTCCATTATGGACCACTATTTTAAACTACTCGCAAAAATTAACTCAAAATGGATCAAAGACTTAAATGTAAGCCCGGAAACCATAAAACTCTTAGAAGAAATCAAAGCAAGAAAGCTCCTTGGCACGGGGTCTTGGCAATGATTTTTTGGATATAACACCTAAAGCACAAGCAACAAGATAAAAAATAAACCAGTGGGATGACATCAAACTAAAAATCTGCACAGCAAAAGAAACAACAAAATGAAAAGATAATCTATGGGAAAAATATTTGCAAACCATACATTTCATAAGGGGTTAACATTCCAAAATATATAAAGAACTCCTACAATTCAACAGCAAAATATTAATGATAAGAAAACAACAGGTAAAGGACCTGAATAAATGTTTTCCAAAGAAGATACACGTGTGGCCAACAGGTACATGAAAACATGCTCAACATCACTAATCATCAGGGAGCTGAAGATTAAAACCACAATGAGACATCACCTCACACCTGTTAGAATGACTATCGTCAGAAAGACGAGAGATAACAAATGCTGGTGAGGATGTGGAGAAAGGGGGACCCTTGTGCACTGCTGGTGTGATTGTAAATTGGTGCAGCCACTGTGGAAAACAGTATGGAGAATTCTCAAAAAATTAAATCTAGAACTACTGTATCACCCAGCAATTCCACTTCTGGGAATACATCTGAAGGAAATGAAAACCCTGTGTCAAAGAGATCTCTACCTCCATGTTCATAACAGCCCTATTTATAATAGCTAAGACATGTGAAAAACCTAGGTGTCCATCGACAGATGAATTGATAAAGATGTGGTGTGCACACACGTACATAATACAATGGAATATTACTCAGCCACAAAAAGGAGGAAATATATTTGTGACAACATGGGTAGACCTTGAGGGCAATATGCTAGGTGAAATACGTCAAAAAGAAAGACAGATGCTCACTTATGTGATGTGGAATCTAAAAAAACCAAAAACCAATCTCAAAAAAAGATCAGATTTGTGGTTATCAGAGATGAGGAGCTGAGGAAAGGTGGATTGAATGAAGTCACTCAAAATGTACAAACTTCCAGTTATAAGACAAATAAGAACTAGAGATGTAATATACAACATAATGACTGTAGCTAACACTGCTGTATGGTATATTTGACAGTTGTTAAGAAAGTAGATCCTTAACACAATACTGTAAATCAGCTATACCCCCCCCAAAGTAGATCCTTAGAGTCATAAGGAAGAATGTTTCTCTTTATCATACCAACATAAAATGACAAATACCGACCAAACTTATTGTGGTTATCACTCCACAGTACGTGTAAGTCAAGTCATTATGTTGTACACCCTAGACTCATGCAGTGCTGTAGGTCAGTTATATCTCAAGGAAACTGGGTGTGGCCGGGGAAGCGTCCCTCCTTCCAGGTACCAGGGAGATGCAAAAATGAATAATGGTGGGGAGGGTATATAGCTCAAGTGGTAAGAGCACATGTTCAGCATGCATGGAGTTCTGGGTTCAACCCCCAGCTCCTCCTCTAAAAATATATAAACCGAACCCCACCCCCCCAAAAAAAGGCTACATGAAATTTTTTTTAAAAAAATGAGTAATGCATGCCTTCAGGGAGCTTCTGTTCCAGTGGGGATGCATGCTGACAGTTTTGGTACAAGTCAGTTATTTGAGGTATTTGGGTAATTTCCTGGTACTCTGCAGAGCGGATAATGAAACCACTCTAAAGTGGTTTTAAACTAAGTTGGAACTAACTGGTTTAGTTATTCAGTTACAGTCAAAGAAAAGTTGGCACCTTCCCTCCCATCTCCTCTGCCAGTTCACACCCTACCCGGGTCAGCCCTCAGTTTCTTACATTGTTCCTGTTACTGACATTCACATCCTCTTCTGCCCCACAATGAAGTCTTTATTGCTTTGTCCACAGGTTGACTCAAAAGATGGAAAGCCGTGGAACTGCATTTACAGGACTATAATTGTTATTTACCCTTTACTGTGAGCATCTCCTTTTGGCTGAAGCTAATTGGACTGGGGTTTGTGTTTGGTCCTGTTTCGTTGAATTGGATGAGATGTATCAGGCCCCTGGGACGGAGCTCCCCCGGCCGCTTTTGTGGGCCTGTGACCCACGCAGTCACGCAGGGCCTGTGTGCAGAAGGGCCCTGTGCTTGGTGGATGCTTGGCTGTTGCTGTCTTGAAATTCAAAACAGTTTTTGAATAAGTGTCCCATAATTATGTGGCCAGCCCTGAGCTCACTGCCTTGCTGACAGAGGCCTGAGGGATCTGAGAAACTCTTGTTGGGCAGCTTTCCCTGGGAGGAAAGGCGGAGTCCTTAGGCAGGTCCTGAGGTAGCCACAAAAAATTAAAGTGATAGGCCATGGACCTGAATGTTGGCTTGTAAATGTTCCCCCTGCTGTGATGTCAGGCTGAGCTTCTCCAAGTTCCATCCTACAAAGGGGCTGAAAGATTGGTGAACCTTGGTCTCTCTCTGCAAAGGAGGTAGAATAATTCTGATGAGAGCATCAGTGCTGAATGACCCGCCCAAGGTCCCACTGCTTATAAATGGCAGGTCCTAGATTCAAGTCCATGGTCCTGATTCCCAGACCCCAGCCCTCTCTGTTCCACCACGCTGCCTCCAGACCAATGCCACGTGTGATGCAGCAGACCTGGGTTTGCATTTTAGATCTGTTCCCAGTTTGCTGTGTGTCCTTTCATGAGGGACTTACCCTTTCTGAACTACTTACCCCAGCATCTGAGAGTAGATAAACTTTAAACGTCCCTTTCCAACAGAATCACTATGAAACTAAAGAAGAGTTAAATTTTATCTGTAGATAGATTCCAGCTAACAAAAGCAGAAGGAATGAAATAGGACACCATTTTGCAGTCCCTAACAAATTAATTGCATGAATGATGGCTAACATCACAAAAGAGAATCAGATACCATGTACCTCCTGATACATCTCAACACCACCAATGACAAAGTCTTGCCAATAAAAAAAAAAATCAAACTTGAATCTGATCAAATCTCTGCTTCCAACTAACAATTTACAGGACAGAGAATAGAAGAACACGTCCAACTACACCACAGGGCGGCGATCAGGAAAGTCCAGATGGAGCAGAATGTCACAAGACAACTAGTTTCTTCCAATGAATAAAAACAAAACACTAAGCCCAAAGAGACTCAAAAGACATACTGACCAACTGTAAGATGGAAACCTTATTTGGATCAAAATTTAAACAAATTGTAAAAGAGCAATCATGTGACAATTGGAAATTTGTACACTGGCTCTTCGATAATATTAGGAATTACTGATTTGGGGGGGTGCAATCATGGTTTAGTTAGTTTCTTTGTAAGGAAGGGTCCTCTGAGAGAGACACACTGACATGTTTATTGACGCAATGATGTCCGGCCTGAGCTCTGCTTCAAAGTAACACAGGAGGATGAGGGACGGGAGTGGGGAGGCAGGTCTGGATGGGGCAGGGTGGGCCGTGGGTTGATGACGGTCACAGCTGAGTGACAGGGATGTGGGGGGTTGTTACATTATCATCTCTGGTTTTGTGTAGAATTTTCAGTTTTTAAAAAGTCCCTCAAGCCCATGGGAGGGGTCAGTGGTGGCCTGGGTTGAGGGTGAGGGATCAGGGGAAGGATGGCCATGCCTTCTCAGAGCAGGGCAGAGGGCTGATTAAGGGACACCAGGACCTGACCCTCCCTGCTCCCCTCCTATGGCCAGTCTGAGCCCCGGAATATCGCAGTCACTCGTGCGCAGGCTCAGATCTAAAGGGTGGCTTTCTTGGTGTTCAGATGAGCTCACAGAGCCGGACTGTCATTGTAGCCCACAGTCCCAGCTCTGTCCTCCCCTGGGGACACTAGCTTCATATTCCAGGTACACCGTTGGCCACATCAGGCCACCTGGCTCCCAGCACGGGCAGGAGAAGGTGCAGCAGATGAGGGGAGCTGTGGGGTTTTCCCAGGTGTACTTTCTGTGATGGTGTTGGTACTGGTGGTGTGGCCAGACCAGGACCTGAGGACCAGAGGGCCCCTCTGAGGCCCACCACCCAGGAGCGCTCCCCCATGGAAGTTAGTACCTACCACCTTGCTGCCCAGTTTGCTGTGTGACCTGGACGAGACGCTTTCCCTCCCTGTGCCTTTGGGTTCCCCCTCCAACAGGAGGCTGCTCAGTGTTTCTCAGTGGGCTGATTTTGACCTTCGGAATGGACAATTCTTCCTAGTTAGCCTTTCTGGGCCCCTGGCCCTTAAATGCCCACAGCTGTCCCTGTGCCTCAGGCAATCAGAAAATGTCCCACATGTTTCCAACCACCCCCAGGTTGCAAACTACTGTGGGTCTCTAAGGACCTTGCCAAGACTGTAGTTCTGTGCACCTGTGTTTCTGGAGAATTGAGGACAAATTGAGGAAGGAGGGGGCAGAAACTGTTAACATGGTTCGTAGTCTTGCAGGGAGATGATACTTGGGTGGGTCTTGAAATACAACTAGGAGTTTGCAAGTTGAGGAAGTCCCAGGGCCTGGGTGAGGGGAGCTGAGAACATTCTAGGTGAAAGGGTCAGCCTTTGCTCGGCACGGAGGGATGAGGGGGCAGGGGGTGTTTGGAGAAGTGCAGAAGTTCCTGGTGGCCCCAGCATTGGCCGATGCTGGAAAACCATTCAACGGAGATGGGACATCAACTTGTGGACAACAGGGAACCAGCAAGGATTTTCAAATGGGGCAGAAGCAGGTTTTTCCACCCTGGTCCCTCTGTACGGAGAAACGAGACGCCTATGTATCAATCAAGAGAATGTTCCACGCTTCCGAGGAAGAACTCATGGGTCAAAGCTGCAGAGAATGCAGTTCCACAGCTGGGATTGCTTGCCCTGGTGGCACCCAGGTGGCAGAGAGATTTGGAGCCAACAAGCTCAAGCTTCTCAGATCATGGAAGAGGCGAGGGGGCTGGGGGTAAATGTGTATACGTGAGTACGTTGAGTGTGCAAGTGAGCCTGCACCTGAGTGCGCACGAGTGTGAGGGTGAACAAGTGCTCACCTAACAAATACATGGTGGGCACACGCGGAGCAAATGCTGACCTGGCCCTTGTCCTCACGGAGCATATGATCTAGTGGAGCCAGTGGAGGAGAGAGAAATAAACAAGACAGCAAAACCGCATTCCAGCAATTAGACTGTGACCCGGGGCCCCCAGCCCTGCCCCAGCCACAGGGCGGACACAGGACCCCAGGGCAGCAGATCAGAATCTCCTCCTCTCTGACTCTTGGGCAGAGTGACACAGAGGGCAGGCCTCCTGCCCCACATTCTGGCTCCGAGTCCACGCCTGCCCCCGGTCCACTTGGCCCTCCGGAGTTGTCTCGGTTCTTAGCCCTGTTTCCCAGCCTTCCCATCGATTTCTAAAGCACATGTGGGTGTGTCTCTCTGTGTGTGGGTTTGGTTTTGGCTTTGACATGAGCACAGCCAGAGCCAGAACGCTGGGAGAAGAGATGAGGTCTCCGGGAAGGCCCCCTCCAGCAACACTCACAGAAAGGGCACCCCCACTGGGCACACGTCGGGCACACCACACACGGGTACCCCAGGGTGTTCACCCAGGGGCCCGCCAGCGGCCCAGCCCTGGCCAGCCTCATGGGGAGGAAATGCCAGCTGCGTTTCTTTAAGCCTCTTTCCGCCTCCCCGGGGACTGTTCGCCGCCCGTCGCTTCCTCTGAGGCCATGTCAGTGGTGCAGGCCTGGGCTGCCCGGGGTGGGCCTCCAGCGGGGGTCTGTGACTCAGGGCTCAGTCAGGCCGAGGCAGGATGTCAGCCCATTCACAGGGCCGTGAGGAATCTCACTCTTCTATTTATAGGCAGCACAAGGGCTGGCCCAGCCTGGCGGGAGGAAGTGGCCGCTGCAGGCGAGTCAGGGGAATGGGAGCAGCGATCCCAGAACCAGGGTGAAGCCAGGCCTTGCCGCCCGCTCCACCTGCCCGGAGGTTTCCAGACTGGGACTCAACTGGACCATCTCTCCAGAATCATCAGCGCTGGGAAATAAGCCAAACAGCCCACATGACCCAAGAGCTGAGCAACAGGAGGCTGTGGACACTGGCCAGGGGAAGCTTGGCTTGTCACGGGCCTGGAAGGGTGGGCAGAGGACGGGTGAAGGCAGTACCCGGGGGCCTGGCGCCCTGAAGTTTGGACCCAGAGAACTCACCCTCCTCTTCCCAACTTGCTTCCTCTGCCAAAGACCCCTGTTTCTACCTACCATCTTGCTCCGCGGTCAGGATGGCTCCTTGTTCTGTGGAAGCTAGGATTTGATACCTTCCTACGTGCTGAGCCCTGTCACACATACTCCCTTGGGACATAGATCTCAATAAGCCCATTTAACAGAAGACAAAACTGATGGTCGGTGGGGTGGAGGTACTTGCCTGGCTTTGTGCGAGTGCACACATATGTACTGAGTGTACAAAATGTGTCAAATGGGAGCAACGGTGCCTGGTCATGGGGTTCCGTGAGGGAGCTCGCACGGGCTGGTGCTATTTGCTACCTCTCTTTAGAGAGCACCCTCCACGTGGTTCCTTTATTGTCCTCAGCTGAGCTTGTATCTCTGATCCTGTCGTGGTGGTGGGAACCAGTTTCTGGAGCAGGAGATCCTTCCAACTGAGCTTACGGGGGCTGCTTCAGAGGAAACCGGACATGGGCCACAGTGGGTACTGCAAATCTGCCCTCTCCCTGGGAGAACACGCTAGGAGCCGTCACCCCTTCCTTTGTATTCTCTCGGCCCCCTCCCCCATCCTGGGTTGCTGGCTGTCCTCAGTGACCACACGCACACTGTACTATGAGGATGCTTGAAGCAGCTGTGAGGGCTTTGTTGAAGGGCTCAGACCCTTGTCGCAAAGCCAGGCAGGATGGGAGGAAGGGAGGGGTTGGGTAGAGGGTATTGGGGTCAACAGGAGGTGGATTCTCCCTGCTTTGACCCCAAGGGGGGCCCTCCTGGCCATACTTCTATCCTGTACCTCCTCAACCAGAGTTCTCACCCTTCCTTTCACCCCACGTTCATCTCCTCAGCTGATCGGCGAACTCAGGGCCTTTCTGTGTCTTGCAAACTTTGCAGCCTCTGACAGTCTCTTCCAAGGAGGACAATGAGTGCCCATAGATGGAGGGAGCAAGGATGGGGGCGGAGTAGGGAGGGTTGGTTCTGAGACGTGGAAAGAAGGGTCCCCAGGGGTGAAGATCTTGGGGAAGAAAAGGAGGTAAACCTTCTAGAATGTGGAAGACGCTCTGGCTGCTTGAAGGGCTGAGGCTGGAGTCCAGGGTTTGTGGGGGAGTGAGGGAGGTTGGATGGGTGGGCAGATTTCTAGGGCCTGGGGTCAGGCTAAGCTTTCTTCTGAACACAAAACTGAAGGCTGTCAAGGATTCCAGGCAAGATGCCATTTAGAAAGCTCCCTCTGGCCGTGGGGGTTGAAGGGGTTGAAGGAGACAGGCTGGTGGCGGCAGGGGGGCCGGTGAGACACCAGCACAGCCTTCCTGGTGAGAAATGGGATTGGAGGAACTTGGAGGGGGAGGGGGGAGCTGGGAGAGAGCCACCACTGGCCTCGACACCCTCCCCGAGGCCCCCCAACACTGACGAGGGCTGGGGTTACCTGAGTGCAGAGGGGAGGAGCCCCTTATGAGCCCCAGAGACCCCGTCAGCTGTGCCAGCTGGATGGGTACAGAGATGACATCATTTTCATGTACTTAACACAAGGTAAACAGGGGTGGAAAAACCCAAGTACTCATTATCTAACTTGGTAGCCGGCTGCTAGCTCCTTAACAACCCGTTTCCTGGGATTCGGCCTTTCTCCTGCAGAACGAAGCCGGAGCCAGAGGCTTCCCCTCCCCGGGCGCAAGGAGTGTGACCTGGCCCCTGGGCCTGGGGCCCCTTCCTTTGAGTCATTCCCTGCGTGTTCATGGAGCCTGGTTTGCTGGGGGCCCGGCCCCAGGGTAGCCGTCTGAGCGCTGTGAGAGTCAGAGTGCACATGCGTGAGGGGTTGAGTCTAGCGACCA